CCGTACCGGACACCGTAGAAAGTGGCGTTACAGTATGAATAAATTGCGTGTTAATGAGAATTGAAAGAGAAATTGAGGAACGGAGTCAAAACTTCTCTTGTTCGATACTTCATCTCCTTCACCGATCCAGGATATGCTGCAATCGCTCGGCCAGACAGACTCGCATATTTCAATCATACTCCCCTCGGGGAAACTGCCAGAAAACTCGAGGCTCGCATTTCTCAAAGGGTCATGTACCGTTGGGTCAAGTGAGTTATTGGAAATTGGGAAGTGCGATTGTGGCCGAGACGGCGCGGCACGGCAGTCGACGGGCTAGAAAAATACATTAAACTATGAAAACACGCTTTTGGAATTTCGCAACCAAGTTAGGTAGCCATCGGGAGTTATCTCACGGACAAGCCAGTGTACCGAATATAGTATATACGTATATACTACAGTGTATAACGTTTCGCAATAATATATAGAAAATATATACATATATACGCCTGTTTTACCGAACCATTTTTGTGGTATCGTATTTCTCTTTTGAGGGAAGATCGAGCAAGTATTTTCAGGCAATCTCTTTGTAACGCGAGTATACTCGCGGTTCTACCTACTTGCGTGCGACCTCAATTTAATCAAATAATTTCTAGAGATCGAGATAGGGTATAGAATAGGAGTACCGTGAGAAATCGTGAGTCTGGTAGGATTTAACGAGCTCTGATGTCCAATCCCTCTATGCATCCCATATACCTATCACCAATTCTATGCGGTGGCTCTAACTGACACGCTACCAGTAGATTCCCGAGTGGGTTATGTTTACCAGCTGGATGAATATTCGATGAGATTCGAGCAGTTCGAACAGTCGTTCGATTTCCTGTGTGATATATCGACGCGGGAATATGAATCAAAATCAAACGTTCCGTGCACAATTGTGTGTAAGGTCCAATATTCATTTGGAAAATGTTACGTGTTCGTTTCGTACTTCGTGCTGTTTTATATTATTTTTTTGGCTATGCGCAACAGATCGGCATACGTATCCTATAATGCAATGTGGCTACGACGCATCGTATATTCAATATATATTAAACGGAATTTGAATTCAATTTATTTGATTTATATAGATCTGAATTTTTCGGAACTATCGTAGGTGCTTAGCAGCGCCATCTGCCGGAATTATCCGGAACTAACAAAAGTGCTTTCCACGAAAATGCAATTTTACCTGAACGGTTAAGAGTCAGCTAATGTAATACTCGATGACATGAGTTGAATGGAAGATATGATAAGCATGCAAACAGATACGAACCGGGTGAGGTGAAATATGTCACGCATATCACTAGCGATTAAAACGGGGTGGAGGTACACCCTAGCTGATGGTCTGGAAAAACGCAAGAGAGAGAAAGAAAAACAGAGTAAAAGAGAAAGACAGAAACAAAGTAAAAAAAGCAGGTAAATAAGGAAGTAACCGATTAAAAAAAAAGCAAATAAGGAAATAAAAAGAAAAGAGAATAAAATTAATGAATAAGGAAAAAAAAATAATTTAGAGGAAACATAAAGAAATAATGATGTAAAGAAGTAAGGAAAGAAAGGAAGAAGACAAGAAATGTATAAGACGAAAGCATAGAAGAGTCCAGTATAGAATATCGGCTCTCAGAATAATGGAAGCTCGAGCCTGTGCACGCACTTATCTGTATAAGCCTATGCCCCCACTCTTCGGCTACTCCTTCACAAGTACTTTTCCCCAACCCATCGTCAAATTTTTAAATTTCAACAGTCATACTAATTTCTTAATTTCTCCTACATTCTATGTGTTCCTACCCGTAGTTCTTGATGTCTACCACGTGCCTGGCACATTGGAGAATGCATCCTCTATCATTTGCGCAACTCTCATATTGCACAACATAACCTCTAAACATATGACACTCACTCCATGAAATGAGGCTGCTCATGCTAACATTGACATTAAAATGTGTTAGCATTGACAGCAACGTTGTCCTTAAAATGCAGCTGGAATTTGGGTGCACAGTTTTAAAACGATCTGAGAGCGACATCACGCACATAAAAATGATAGTATCGAATGTTGTCTTCATGAATCGAACACTTATGCCTGATTATCTGAAGAAATATTTTTGTTAAAAGTGTCATCCGTACTCCCAGGTGAATTCTTTCCAGATATAGTAGCTATATTCAGAATTTTTATATTTTTACTGCGAATTTTTATATTTTTTATATTTTTACTTCTACTTCACTTTCTTTCTTCGGCGTTCGTTTCTTCACGCACCGAGTGTTTTTCTTTCATAAAACTTCCAGTGACCACCACGATATTGAATATAGATTGACGACAACAAAAGCAATTATAAGTGCGTTCTATGTAACTACAAAAATTTTAATAGTCATTGAATTATGAACGGTCATCATGTTTTCGGTTTCAGTTTCATATGATATTCAGAGGAAACGTAAAATGTTTTTCATAGCTAAGGACGATTGCACAATTTGCAATATATTTAATTTTTATTTTAGACTACAAACCGATTTCATTTATTACGTATCTGCCCTCTGGAAAAATGGCAACAGTGCTGAAAAGTATGTGGATACAAAAAAGCCAATAAATTCAACTAATATTCAATTAACAATTAAACGTTTAACATGCAGTACTCCTAGCGTGATTTTAGCTTCGGATATTGTGGGCGACATGGTTTCAAAGGAAAATAACGTTTTACGGTAGTCCGTCAAAGAGCGTCTACAATGGGAACCTGAGAACCAATTTGTGTCGTATTCACGACCATATGTGTATGTTAATATATTCTTTTTACTGATCAGTCTCGTAGTAATATGAGAAAAATTGTAAAAATTGCAGTACCCCCGACATATTATTATGAAATTTAATAAACAGTGATGGGAAAGACACTGTGAAAAGAGTTGTTATTATTTCAGCGAATAACTACATATGTATGTTGATTATAAATATATCATATAAATGTAACATACTATATATATTATAACTATTATCAACTATAACTTGATTATCCATAGAATTTTGAATTCCAAATTTTCATTTTTTGGAAATAATTGCAATTATCGATAATAATCAAGATACGACGATCACAGTTGCAATGTCATAATTTTCAGATGTATTTTTCACCATATTTTTCCACAAGACTGTAATTAAACAGAATTTAAATAATTGCTATAACAAATATAATAAAATTTCTACTGGTTAAATATCAATATCGATGGAAAATTTAAATGCAATTTGATGAATATGAGTATACGTATAGATTACAGTGAAAATACTAATTTCCCTCTAATTACATTATTATCCTTTATCAAGCTAACAGTATTAAGGCACACTAGAATCGAGTATAAAAAACCAACGGACATTATCAGTAGAAGAGAGAGTTGAAAATCTATTAAAAAAAAAAAATCAAAATCCACCCTTCCATCACGATTCCCATTAATTCAGTCAAAGAATTCTCTTTCATTTACATACATTCTGTCCAACATTCCACATCCACTTGGCACTCAATGGAAAAAGCAAAAATTCACAAATCCGAATCACGATCGTCAAATATATCAACGAAAAAAAAAAAAAAAAAAAAAAAAAAAAAAAAAAAAAAAAAAAAAAAAAAAAAAAAAAAAAAAAAAAAAAAAAAAAAATTGCACATCCCCGAGTCTCTCAATTTCCAATACCGTTTTGTCCTATCAAGTAACGTCAGGCCGGCATCATCCAATATGTCGTCGGCGTAAGCCGTCCCCCAGCTTTACGACGCACCAATTCCCATTCCACGTCATAAACTTGTTTTCCTTCACCTACATACAGCGTAGCCGAGAGATCCAAAGGCAAGGAAGTAAGTTCGAAAGCGCCAACCTCTACGAAAACCTTCATCCTCCAAGGCGTATCCACTCCCTGGAGAGTCTCATCAAATAAAAAGGACGCTTCTCTTTTACACCCTCCAGTCCCCTTCCCCGCGCGTCCCTCTCCTGAACCGATGAGACGTACCCATTCTTAAAGGATACACGTTATCCTCTCTCGCTTCAACTTGGCAAAGATTTTCAATTAACCTATTGCCCGGAGTAGGATGCGACTGCACCACTGTGCTCCGTTGTGTCTGTATATCTACGGATCAAGTGGACGATAGATACCCTGTGAAAACGTTCAGAGTGCGCCCGCACGTTATGACGCACACAGACAACTCGCCGTTCGATTGACGCACAGTTTATAGGGTGAATGCCAGGAAGTGATTACAGGAGGAATAGGGAGGGTGCATCGTGAAACTTCTATTACCTAGTGCACTGGAGTACAGAGACTGCGCGCTGATTATACCTCTGAAAGTGTATTGCTGCTACAGCAACGCTCTTTGGGTGAAACTACGTTCATCCGATATGTGACGTGCATGCGTATTGAAGGAGGGCAGCTGCCGCTTGAGACAGAGGAAACCACGATGCAAATAAACGAGCTATAGCCATTAGAGAGTGACGTCACTGGGTCCTCTCTCTTCTCCGATCAGCCGACTTTACGTATCTCGTGTAGTCACGCCGCCACGTCAGTTTCATTTTGAGGGGCCATCTCGTTATGAACCTAGACGTTAATAAGTCACCTCAAAGTGAAACTGATTTCGCTTTGAACCTGACGTCATTGGATCTTGCGCGATCTGGTGTAAAATATGATCGCTAGTGGTTATACCTCGTCTATTTGTATCGTGGGAGTAAACTAGGTAGGTAGGTACCTTACGCGGTGGCATTTCAGACACTTCAGTGATACCCGAGCGTAATCACATCATTTCCGAGGCAACAAGTACGGTAAGTTAACTTATCGGATTTCTATAGCGTGCCGCAAACGACACAGCGAACAGCAAGCATAGCGATTTGACTAGGTAATGTCGTGACTGTCTAGTCGCGTGACAGACTGTGGGATAAGAGGTCGCTTGACTTTCTGACGCTGTAGTTATAGCTGTAAGGTATAGTGTGTTGGAGCGTACTGGTACCGTTATAACGCAGTCTGATAAGTGTCAGGAACTTACCGGTAACTTTGACGTGATAAGGTAACTGCGCTCGCCAGGTATCCTGCATTTTTCTATCAGGAGCGACGCATCGATATTCACCGGCTTCCTGATAGACAACACGACTCAGGGCAAGTGGTCCAGGCCCACCGACAGGTTCCATCCCTGGTCCATGTCCCCAGCATCCGCCGTCACATTCGAGAGTGACTGCACCGCCGATTTGAACTTCCATTTTTCGTGAATCCGTGGCCTCCCCGTTGAGAGCCTCGGCTTCCGTCTCCAAGTCTGGATCATCTGGATCAATGTGAAAGTATAACTTAAGGTTAATTCCACTCTGCGAAGTGAGAGGTTTATGTCACGGTCGCCTGGACAAATAAACGCGGTTTCGTCGAGTCGCTAAATCTTCGTACAAGTAAAAGGAAGATATCGGTATATGTATCCCACGTGCAAGCGGTCTATTGATATGCGTGTTCACGAATGCATCCGCGTCATCCCGTGGCAAACTCTCGTCATTCGGATAATCCTCGTCGGCACATTTGAATCTGGCGCACGTACCAGGGATAAACTTTTACGGTATCTTGGGCGTCGTTCTTTTCCTCAGCTTCGTGGGGTCGAGAGAGAACTCCGCCACAATTCCTCGTCCTCGTCCCAACCTTATCCTCGAGTACCGCTGTCCCGTTTGGCTTCGATTTCTAGTTGGAATTATACGTGTCCGTCTCTGTTTGCTTCGTAGCTAAAGCTCTGTCCACACACGAGCATGGAGTGGGGAAGCCCTGTGAGCGCTGTACGGCTCACCTCTTCGCTACTTGGGAATCAAAGACGAATGGTGCCACAAGGGGATTCGAGAGGAGAAGTTCTTTGAGTTAGCGGACTGATCCCCCGGCTCATCCCATTCGAAAACAAAGGGATCAAAGTGCTACAGCATCGGGACAAGACCCTTTACGCTTTCCGTTTATTTCATCGTTTGCTCGGATTTTTCGAGCAAACGGTATGGTAACGCGATAGCAAACACAAGAGGGTGGAAACGGTCGTACGTGCAGGATGACGGGAGAGAAGAAACGAGGGGAAGAAAAAAGTACGATGAAAATAAAAAAATTACAACAAAAGACCTACTACTCCGTCATCCTAGTGTATTCTTTAACGGCTAGTGAATGCAGACACGAGTCTGGAGTCATGCTCCGGTCCTGGGACGTAAGTTTCCGGTACTATTCGTACGTATAGTATATTCTTGCTAATTCACTCGAATTTATCGTCGATCACGCTATTGTCGGACTCTCTATAGCAACTATTGCTCCATTATCCTAGATGAGATTATCCTTGAGGCGCCTGGATATACTAAGGCAGTGCGAAGCTTGTAATCGATAATTCCACGAAGGACGGTACGGTTTATACTCCAACCATCTAAATTGCGTGGAGATTAGACGCTCGGAAGCCTACCTACCGTATCCCTTCTATCCTCCAGATCACCGGATGAGCCTTGGAGATGGCGAAGTGGTAAGGACGGACAAGGATTTCAGTAGTGCGAAATCCTATTTACTCAACATCCCCTCCGCTCCTCGCCCCTGCGCTCTACGTATTAACGGAGTGTCGGCGCGCGGCGGATGCAGGGCTGGAGGAAATTTGCAAATTTTCGCAACAAGGCACGAGTAATTTCCGGCTGGCCCGGTGGTTTCCGTCCCTGACAAATGACTGCGGTTTCCGGTTATCGGTAACGCTTCTGCATTTACAGACGTAGAAACTATCTAACTGGAACCGTAACGCGTTTTCGACGAAGACTCAAAGACTTGATAGCGCCCTAGTTTCTTTGGATTTTCTGCACTTTTTTTTTTTACTTTTTCTAACGAACCGTGACGAAGCCTTATGGGGTCGTTAAGACCGAACAGAAAAGAATGAAATAAATAAAAAAAAAACTTGAAAGGAAGAAAAGGGAAGACACCCTGGTGTCTGGAGGGGGAAAAAAACAGAACACAAGGTGATAACAACGAACGGGTAGGATCCTTTTGCTTTTCAAGAAAAATAATACCGATCTTTTTCGCCTCCGTATAAAAATCCTTCCCCCGCCCTTCTTCCCCTTTCTTTTTCTTGCAACCATCAACCTCTGTCATTGTCTTACAGCGCGCACGCCTCTGCCTTTTTCTGTATCTCTTTTTACTTTCAGCAAGGCGTCCGCCTACCAGCCCTTTATTAACAACTCGCTCCTCCTCGAGACCAACTTTTCTGCATCGCGTATCTATGATGCCATTTTACTTACATCGAATGTTCAGGAAGTAGCCGATGCTTGTGAAAATACCAAGCATGTGTCGCGTATAGCACTTGTACCAGCCGCTTTCGGCGCGAGTAATTTTCGTGAAATTCAACCATCCGTCGTCACTCTGCTCCACTGGAGGTGGTCCATTGTCTGTAACACAAACGACAGTGTTGTACGTTAATTAGAGACGAAATCGGTGCAGCTCACGAGCCGTTGCCGCGTCCTCGGATACCCTCCCCCTCTTTATTCATTCCACTCTCTGTTCTCCGGTACACACGTCATACCCATGTGGGTATGTACGTATGTACGTGAACGTGTATGGATTCTGTGCTTTTTTTTTTTAATCGCACCCACAATGCTAGAGGAAGAAAAGCAAAAAAAGAAACTAGGCCGAGAAGCGATGCGAAAGCCGAGACTCTTCTCGATATCGAAAAACGGGAGATATGTATCGTACACGTATATAAGCATCTACCTATATGCATAATAATATACTCCATATACGTCCTTCGTTTCCTACCTATATACGTATATGAAGCCTTGCCTTGACTCTCGGTTGCAGCTGTTGGTTTTCGTCAGTCCGAAATGCTTGCGTAGAATGTAGGACAATGGCAAACACGAGAGGGGGATATAACTATAATAGTACGTGTGGATGTAGGGTATGAATGATATAAAGAAAGCGAAGAGAATTTTCAAGATAAAAGTATGAGATGAACAGGAAGCGGCCCAGAGGATCGTTCCTGTATCTAATATATATAGTGAGGTACTGGACGAACTTTCATATGGCCCGAATAAGAGGATATCCTTCTAAAAGAGGGCAGAGCAATGCTGCCAAGGCACGCTCGATTGTGTTAACAGTATCTATAGCAAGTTGTGCAGGATGCCCGTACCATTCTATATGAAATAGTGAGAGGCCGTGACTTGGCCAAAAAGCACGACATTTCTTTCTTCCTTTGGTTCCATTGCCATTGCGAAGGCTACTGCGAGCGTTCGGGCAATTTGGCGTGGAAACAAACGAACTGGAGTCGAACGGGGGGGATCGTAGTGGATACGAAGAAAGAAATGAAACTGGAAACGTTACGTTACTTTATGTCGGTAAGTATCGCGTAGGCATACTAACGGTAAGCATTTTGTAGCATTTTGGTATATCTGACGCCTGTACGTAATTTTACGTAACAGAGTGGACTAAAAGGGAACTTTCGAAACTCCGGGAATTGCATCCGTGGTATAAATGCGAAATTGTATGAGGGTTTTGTTAACGCGAGGGAAGAGAGCCTTGGGAATTATTGTTGGTTGGAATTTCTGTACGTTTCTTTTTAGTAAGAAGATAATGGGAGAGGGAGATATTTCTTTAAGGATGTCAATGACAATAAGTTTTCACCGAGGATCCTTAACCGTAGGTCTTTCGAATGCAATTTGCGATTCGTGCTTTTTTGCTTCTTTGATATGAAGCAGCCATTCATTGATCGCTAGGAGGAAAGTCGATATTCTTATAGTAAAGGAATAAGATCCTGTGAATCCATGACGCCTAGAGTTCATTTCCAAGAGAACGATCGGACGAGCTGGCATGACGTCGTTTTAGGAACGTCGAAATCGAGGGTCGACGGTGAGCGTCGAAACGAATCCTGGTAATCCGGGGTGGAAAAGATTTTAATAAAAAAAAAAGAGAGACGGAGAGCGAATAAGACGAAATTTGATATACTGGAGGAAGGAAGGAATTCAGAGAAAGACATGGGCGTTGCCACGTGATGTGCTTAAAAATATATTTAAGTATTTTAATTTTGACGGATTTCGCGAAACGAAAAAGCCAATTTATTCGCAATCACTCGATTGCCTCTATGAATGGAGATTAAGGCCGATCGGGCGCGATGAGTTCACGAGGCGAGCGGCGCGACGCTCGACGTCGTAAAATCCAGACGCCGTCGCACGAAAGCGGAATTAATTGATTATTTACGTAATGGGAGAACTCGTACCTTATGACTATAATAATAATAATCGAAATAATGGAACTTATGCATGAAATCGTATCTGTTCCGGACTGTTGCCTGGATAATTTGCAATTTTGAGGTCAGGTTAGGTTTTTAAAAAAAAAGTGTCAGCTTTATCACGCTGTCAAGTCAAGCAGTTAAATAGCGAGATGGCATCGTTAGTGAAAAGTAAGATAGGATGCCACTAAGGCGGTATTGCAGAACGACGTTATTCCCAGGTGAAATATGAATAATGAGTGCGCCTCTTTTGAAACTTCTTACTCGTTATAACCGAAGGGAAGAAAGTGTAGAAGCTCGCGCATTCCTTTTGTGCAGAAACTATCCAGTAAAGTCCACTACATCCATCATAGGTTTTTCAGGTAAGCATCTAACGATAGAAGAATTTTCCAGAAGTATACCAGCTGCCGTAACCACTCAATGTAATGAAATAATAAGTGTTATTCGATAGAGGCTGTGGATGCGCAAGTTCATCGATTTTACCATCATCCACGCAGTGGGACGATACTCGGTACTCGTAACTCAATTTTCTCTATCTGATGCAACCTAATTATTTAGTGCTTTTTATCATTTCTTTTTAACCATTACGTCAAAGCCCCACTTAACAGGTTGATCCGCGCTAATATTTTAATAGGTAAAAAATACGTCAATATCAATTCACCAGTAGCATATATCAACATTTGATGTTTTAAAATCAATTTGCTACACCGGAAGCTCCCTCGGAACGTTCGGTTCTTTTAATCCGTTTAACTGAAACAACCTACCCAGCGATTAATACGTACTCAGAATAGGATTGCAGCAAACGGTATCCTGCCACTCGAATGACAATCGACATAACACAGAAGCAACGAGATAAACCGACGTAGTTGAACATAAAGAGACCGAAGTGAAAAAATAGATTCGAGAGGTAAAAAAAATTCTTTTAAATCTGACAAAGAACAAATTAAGATACAGTACAACAAATTCAATGTAACTTATACGAACAATTACGTACTTTTGTCACGTTTTGCGTGACGTCACGTATTATGGAATTCGCATTTAAGCGACTATTGCCAAAACGGGATGCGTTTATATTATACCTATAGGAACGTGTCTGGGTATCATTGAAACGCTGATAGAGACACTCTTCAGGATGTATTTGGCAATGAAGATGACAAGTCGACGACACGTTGGCAATTCTCATTGCCGAAATATTCGTCGCCCGAAATTCTCACAGAGCGATACATCCATTAGAACAAACATTAATTCCAGTTTTGCGACCGAGCGTAGGAAATGTCTGGCTGTACCTAACCATTACGCAAAGCACGTTGTATATTTTGCATGTAATACACACATATATATATATACATATATATAGGTTAGTGTATACTGTGTACTACCCCAACGTTACCACCATTGCACAAATACCAGAATGTAGGTTAATGTCGGACGCTGGGTCAGAGAAGATGGTGGCAGTGGTAACGGGTAGGTACGGCTAGGAGAAAATCCTGAAATCGTAGGAACCTGCTGTGTTTTATCGAAAGCACCCAGTTTCCGGTCCAACTTCATATTTCTGGCCAATGTAACGTCATTCTACTTTGTCACTCGTAAAATTTATCGCGTCGCTACGTGGAAACGCGCCGATCGACGCAATAGAGTAATCATCAGTTTAAGAGACAGTGACTGAGATCTGTGTAAATGAGGAGAGAGGGAGAAGGCGAGAAAGGTATATAGAAAGAGCGTCGCATAAGAATCAACGGAAAGAGCCGAAGAAACGACGGAGAAAAAGTGAAAGAAAAGTATCGAAGAAAAGTAGAGGGAACTAAAAGTACCGGCAGATATAAACTTTCAGAGTTTTACGGATACCGTTGTAGGACGAGCTGCGGTTGGTTGTGGTAAGAGCTTTTCTGGTGAATAAATATTTATTTGTACATATTTAGATATCCCGGGTTACTTTAGCGCTTAATATCCAAAAACTATTTTGTTCATCTGTTAATTTCATATAGTTATAAGATATCTGTGTGTGTATATTATATATATTTAAATAAATATCAATTTCCAATTCATACGAATTGCATCCTTAAGTCAACCTGCCTCGTGCTTCGTGCAACAGTTCGTGTCTGCTGGTGGTACGAAATAATGTAATTACAGTGTACCATTGAGCTAATTGAAACAGTAGTCGTAGCCATGAATGCGGAGTCGCTTCATCCATTATGAAGCTGCCGTTGGTACACCGACCGACGTATTTTGGTTTGGTTTGGGACTCTCGAGTGTTTACAGTGATTAGGATACGTGTACTCGATCTCTGCATTGAACATATAACTATTTAAACACACGTACCGTATACGTGTATATTGTACTAGGCAAGGATATAGAAGAATCCATGACGACTCCCTTTACGATAAGGGAATATCGTAACCCACTAGTATCTTAACGTTTCTATGGAAAATAATTGGTAGCCGTCCAGTATGTGGACAGCGATATATTCATTCGTTGGGAATCGCCGGAAATGCTACCGGCGAACGAACGATAAATCGTCACGGTTCTACGATCGTTCCGCTGATAGTTTCAGGTCAATATACACGGATTCCCCTTTGGCGAATTCATCGAGGTTCACAGCTAACCAAATAAACGAAACAAAGAGAGAAAGAGAGAAAATACAACCATTTTGCTTACCCCGTTGCCAAATTGGTGAGCTGGATGGATTGCTATCCACCTCACATTTCAGACTGACAGACATACCCTCGACGATCGGTATACCAAATCCGGGTAATCTCGTTATTGCAAACGACGGAGTGTCTGAAACAAAGAAATAAACAATAGAGAGGTTAAAGTTTAGTGAATAAAGTATTTAATAGAAAATTAGGATTTATCTCTTCAGCCTCCCGTATGTTAATCCTGCACCGTGATACAGTATAGGGTTTAAGCACATAACCATCCAGCAGTCCAAGTAGGACGGATCGTCGGTTAGGAAGAGGGAAACGTGGAGTTGGCCCCGTTGGGCGAGGACGAAACTGAAAATTTATTGGCAATTAGTTGAGCCGTAGAACTGAACCCGGGTAGGGATTAATGGAGAGTCAGTCGAGATTTTCCGCGGGACATTCGTTACTATTTCCCAGAAGCAGAAGCGGAAGTGAGCTTGAAAGCAGGAGCTCGTAGACGTCGACGCCATTAGAGCGTTTACCGGTGTTATTGCCGGTGCGGCTCGTTAATGTCTTGTCTCTGGTGACGAGCAGGCCTATAGCAAGTTCGATCGGAAGGAGGGAACGAAGACGCTGGTGACATCGGGGGGGGTCAGGAAATAAATCGAGGGTGCATCAAATTGCAATGGAGTTTCGTGGACGTCGTGGCTGTTTCCAGGGGTTGCTGTAGACGCCTTGCCGGATGAACCGTCGACGGTAGGACGTGCGACGGAGCTTCCAAGTTATTCACTCGGCGATAACAGTGCGGTGGAGAGACAATGCAAGCTTAATGAAAGCTACCCTGCCCCTGTTCCTCCCACGTTCTATCCTCTGGCTCTCGCTCGCCCCTTATCCCGGACCACCCCTGTATATACCAACGGCGTAAACACCAAACAAAGCGAACAATGAGACACAGAAGTGTCCCACAGACCTCGATCGCTTAATGAGAACTTTAAAGCTCCTCCGCGAACTACCGCCATTTCTGGGCTTTGAATATCCTATTTTCATTTGGAGTCGTGCCAATAAATACTTCCATTTCCACCCCCTGCCCACTCTGATTCTGGCCAATCTGGTTGACCCTCGGGACCTCGACTTTTTACTCCTCCTGAAGCCCCTTTTGCCTCCTTTACATTCTACTTCTCGCCGTCGCTTACTTCCACTCGTCGAGGTTTCTTTTCACGTGAAAAATTCACCTTTCTTATCTGCTGGTACTCGTCGATTCTGCATTCTCTCGTACTTCTGATGCCAAATGGATGACGAGGTACGACTTTTAGGTGGTTTTTAACAAGAAGGAAGTTGAGGACGAAGAAATCTAATTTCGTTCTGATAACTGCTGCCTTTTACTGTGACTCGAGCTGGGTAGTTTTTTTAAAAAGCTTCTCACGTCTAAGAGACACGTACGATGGATATAAGGTTTCGTTGAAATCTCACAGTCAAATATACAATATGTCTATCGTTGTTAAGTATTGTATTCTCCGATAATATTTTTAGCCAGACAACAATAATGTTACTACTTAAATACGTAAAAATTATATAAATTATATCGTCGTTAATTATCATTGTACCTTGCACTGTGAATCGATGTGCTAACATGATTGGTCCAAAATATTTTGCCAATATGGGACCATTAGAGGGAAGCGTCACGCTTGATATAGTGACCCGGTACTGGGTGCCAATATTCGAAGATTGGTTGTCATTGGCCCAAGATTTCGCCATTTGATAATTTCTGCTCGGGCTGATCAGCCTATTGTCGGTTATTAAATAAAACAATTGTCAACTATTCTAAATTCTTTCGCTAATATGTTTCATTCGAGAAACCAGTCATCAAGCATTCTCGAAAATTAATTCTGAACATGTAACCAGGTTAAACTAACGACTAATATTATGGCTCGCTCACAGCGAATAGAGCTAACTATGCGAACCTATCCATCCATAACCGGACTTCCACTTTGTTAAATTTACCAGTAACTTGCAACTCGACCGCCTATAGGTTGAAAGCCAAATGCACCGTACATAAAATTTCATGCGTAACTTTGTTACCTAACCTCGATAACACTGCTTGCGCAAAACCGATAGACGACGTGAGTTCTGGCCTTTTGTAGCTAGAGGTAAATCAAAGTGAAACTAGAAGCGCAAACAATGAAAGGCCAATTGCCATACGATCAGAGCCCTTTCATGGCTTGCAAATAGTGCAACCTAACCTGACCAAAGTTAATGAATACAAGGTATACTCGGATACAGATAATTCGTGAAGTTACCAGTACAATTATTTAACGAGTCTATTCTTATTTCAATAAGGATACCATAATCATCGAAAGTTTTCTCAATGGCATTTTTAAGACCTTCGTGAGAATTCATAGCGCGACGAAAGTGACCGACATTAAGTTAACCCACCATTCCGGGTTAAGGTGAATTTTAATTCGTCGTCTCAGAATGAGGATATCTTTGTTCGTTCTCTAAATTTGACTTAATTGCACAATTAAAGAAGGGCTATAAAATATTTATGAATCTTTATGAGAATTATCTTTTTTTTTTTCATCTTCCACCATTCTCATATCCATCCAGCTATCGTCCCTCTAGGCTTTCCCTGCTTACTCACTTGCATTTTTCGAAGGGTCGGTTATGTCGATATCAAATACCATCCGGCACTCCTTACGGCAGGTTCGCTGTGACTCGAAGAAAATTTATTCGGCCGAGTTTAAAGTTTACTTTCACCCCAGGCGATATCCTTGGCGAAATTATAATTTCACAAGGAGATCGTCCAGGGAGTCATCGATTACCTTAGGTTTCCATTTCTACTTTATTTTACGAATCTCTCTCGGTATAACGCAGACGATAAGAATAATAAAATTTTAAGACGCCAACGTTCGTATATGTTATATTTATTTATTTTGATAAGCACATTAGAAAACAAACGAGACATTTCAATTGATGTTACATAAACGTACGTATTTTTAATTTCACGTTCAAAAGCCATTACTCTTTAAAGATCAAAATAAGCGCTTCGTACGTCATTACGCCATGTTTTCCCCTTGCGAAATTCGAGGGAGGTGAACGAGACTAAGGGCAATTGTCATCGCCTCTTTTTAATGAACTGTCGTCCCTCACGATAGAAATTACTCGAGATACAACGAGAAATACGGGGGAAATGAGAAACGAGGTAAAACCGCGCTTGCGCAGTTCAGCGGCGCACTGCAAAAAGCAGGAAACTTGCGAAAGCATTGTAGAATTACGTGTAAGCATTATTATCACTCACGTTAACGTGCATTCGTGTTAAGCCGAATAAAAGAGCCTGAACAACAATGTAATATCCCGAGAATTAATAATAACTACGTGCACGCGACATTCTATAATTTATGGCAGGTCTTACAAGCTTTTACAAAATTCACTTTTAATCCTATAAATATTTTTTTCCCCCGTCTTTTCAGGCTCGTCATATGTTTTCTTTGCGGATCGTGTACGCGATTGGATACTCAATTTCATTGGAATCCTATAAACGAATACTAAGTGAATAATTCCATTAGATTCCTGAATTACAAATGGAATGAAATCCGTTTTCTGCATAATGGGAGCATCTTCAATAGTTGTGTGTATAAATAATATCCGGTCAATATCCATACCATTCTACGATAGAATTGTCGGAGATGCTCCACATACGTATTTATATTGACACATATGTATATGGGCTTAAACACGTCAGTCTTTGACGGCTGTCATACCAAAGTTAATGAATACAAGGTATACTCGGATACAGATAATTCGTGAAGTTACCTGTACAATTATTTAACGAGTCTATTCTTATTTCAATAAGGATACCATAATCATCGAAAGTTTCTGTGGTGAATAATATTATTTGTTAACGCTCTATAGATTATATAAATTCCACAAACTTTCCTGATGAAAATTGTTGATTCATTAATTTGATTAAAAAAAATTATGGAGCAGTTAACCTTCAATTTCATAATATCCTGCACCTAACGTGAGTGCGAAAGGGACAGACTTATGGGGATTTACGTGCATAAGACAAAGATAGACACACAACTGACTCCAATACTCTCGCCAGTATTGCTACCTATACTCGCACTGTTCTCTCGCACTGACTGCACTGTGATTCTAATACTGAATTTCTTTGTAACCGTATAATATAACGAAATGTATGACAAACGTGATCTCGCGAGACGTATCGGATCTGTCATTTTACGTTTGAAATGAATAGTGGTTTGAAATCAAAGACCTTTATATGACGTATTCCGGATGAAATGCGTAATAGCTTTGTGGTTATTTTACTGATCCCGTATAGATAAGGGACTATCGAAAGATTATCGTTAATATCGCGTTACAACATGATCCGTGGATACGCGCCTTTAATTGGATCTACAATTTCGTACAACAAAGTACCAAAGCGAACGCAATAAATACATGTAAGGCGAACAAAAGCTTTTGCTCCTCGTTCTGGTTTAAGGTTTCGTAGCAATTTCAAATTTCAGGTGACGCTACGAACGAGGATGTATGTAAAACAGCCAGCCAGCCAGCCAGCCAGCCAGCCAGCCAGCCAGCCAGCCAGCCAGCCACCGACCAAGCTAGAACACATCCAGGTTACCGTAGCTACGCGACCCCTTCTCGTAAACATTATAATGCCGAGCTAGACAATTGTGCTTTAGAGCCGCGCGACCTGTCTTACTCTTGGCAAACATTTTCACTTCATTTCGACTGCTAATCCTAGTCTAAGCGCCTTACATTGCGCGCCACTCTACCGTGTGCGGTTAACCGGGACAAACAGATAGTAGCTGTGCCAATTTCGTCGTTATATTGTTGCAGGTCGAAAATTTTCGGGTTTCCTAGAGAAATATACGGCAATGTATGTAGGTACATTGCTGCCTTTGCTAGCGTTAAGGGATACGTTAGAGATATATGAGGATTGCGACGATTTTCATTATACATGGATATACTAGATAGTCGGATACGGTTTCGCACAGATATACTTTAGAGGCTGCTGCGAATTTCGTTTTTACAATGTTTACGGGCAGTACTGTAAATTCTTATTACACGAATAGTCTTTTTTAAAGGTTTCGTAGAGGCTGGATAAATGAACGTATGTATGTTTAATCTGTCTGCACT